AACGGAAACATTGGCACATGTGGATATGTAGATCTTGAAAGTCGAGTTGTTCAAAACTTGAAAATAGCATTGATAACTGGATCAATCAGCAGATATTACCTTTGCAACATCTCAACCATCAGCTGTTGAATGAGTTTTCATATTCAATCAGAAATTTAGGAAGAACAGATTTCAATGGTAACAATATAAATGAATGATAAAATGTGCAGCATATGTGTGTTTAACCCTATCACCCTGGGTATCCTTTACCGCACATGATGCAAGGTTTTAGTGTCTTATATTCCAAATTTCATTATACTAATTTTTTCTTTATGTTAAACTAATGACAATAGCATAAAATCTTACCTAATAATCCATATTTTAATAGTTATACAAGTTTTAAGTTCTAATTTTAAATTAGAAAATTTAATTTCTAAATTTCTAATTTTAAGTTTTAATTCTACTAGGGAATATTTTACAAAATCATGAATTTCCACCAGTTTGACCCACATGACACATCAAAAAATAATCAAAACAAAGTACCCACAGATTAAGTTACATATAGTAGTCACGAAAAAATTTTGAATGAAAAATATGTTTAAAGCTAAAGACACACTATATATACACATACATACATACATACACACACACAGACACACTTATTTGGGGAACCTGTAAAGCTATCTATATCAGTAAAACTACATGTAACCTACAAATACATGCATACAAACAATGGCAATTTCAGCTAGAAGCAGATATAAGCCAGCTAATCCAACCAAGTCTTGTACCTGATTGCACAGTGAGAGTATGGACAACCCTATAATTCTAGAAAACTTTAAAATTCTTGACTCCAGAACCACAGATTATGAACTCTATTAAAATAAGCCTCTCCCATTTTCAGTGATCACCCAACAATAAATAACAATATCAATTCCTTCCTGTTGTCACTAATTTAATCAATTCTGGATTCTCAGTGTTTTTATTTGATATTTATTAGTATTTGAATGATGTAGTGTTTATACTTATATTTAAGCCTTTCTTTGTAATTTTCTCTTAAGAATGTTATTTATCAAGCGTGTATGCCATGCATTTTATTGTACATTCCATTATATTGTTACCATTCAAATCTATTCTTTCTAAAATTTTGTTTGAATACAACAGCTCATTCAGTAGCTAATGTTGTTTTTTTATAGTTGAATATTATGAACTAACTTTGAGGTTTTAATGCTGGTGATGGAATTTGAAGAAATTCCAAAACTTCCATAATTAAATATTTTTTTTGGTATTACTTTGTTTTTAATATTTATTATAAATGACATAATTATATTGTGAACTTTCTATAACTTAGTTTATACTCACTTGAGTTTGATCTGTTAAAATTGGTTATCCCTTTCCGGATGGGTCATGGATGAAAGGCCATGTCATCGCGTTTATTGACTAGCATTCAAAATTTTATTGAACTACTGTTTAATGAATTTATGTAAATATGTTTGGTATCAAGCTGTAGATTATAATTGAAATTTTAGTGTCATACCTTACTCAATTTTTAATTTAAAAGTAAATATTAAAAAAACACAGTTAAACATCAATAATGTATGTCATGTGGTATTTTGAATGCAGCACTGGTTCAACTTAAATTTTTCTGATGTCAAAATGATAAGTTTATAGTTTCGTACAAATTAGGAACTCAGACTACCGATATTGACAAGCTTGAATATAAAATAAAGAGCCTCTTATCTTTTCAACTTCCTAAGATATTACTCGTGTAGTAAATCAAACACAGTGGCACCCCTCCCACCTCTTTCCATTTTTGGAAACATTCCCTTATCTACTTCTATATATGATATAAATAACCAATCGGAAGCTTAGAATTCCCCCTAGTGGCTTTCTCAGCCATTTTAATGTGTTTGGATGCCATATCTTTCTTTTGAACCAAGATTCCAATGAGGTAGGTTGTGTCTTTAGTCTGCTTAAAATGTCAAATTTTTTTAGACTGAAATACAGTTTAGTTACTAAGCTTTATAGAATATAGTGGAATTCTATGATATCGATATTGTAACTTAGGATTTTTTTGGTGTTATTTAGAATGTATATATAAAACCTAAAAAATATTTTTTTTCACATCCTCCACCTGGGAAACTTTAAGACTTAGCAACCTATTTCAAGCTGCCACCAAGTACAAAGGTTGTAACTAGAAGAGATGATTGTTTGTTTTACTTCATTTCTTGCTGTTTTAAGAAAAATAATTTTAAGAACTTATTTCTAAATATCAATAATCTATATACATATATAATAATTGAAATGTGACTGAATTTTACAAAATACTAGTCGACTAAAACACAGCCAAGACAAGTTACTTTGTACTGACCAAAGGTCAGTTTTATGTTATTTGATACAGTAACATGAGTGCACATGAGCCACGTTGTTGTAACTTCTGTATTGTTAGCCAGGCATGGGTGAAAGGTCATTATAATCTTACGAGACTTAAGCTATTTCATCTAAACATTTATGTTTTCGTGTTATAATTTGTATTGATTCTAGAATGAAAGATGCATAATTTATGTTTATTTCCTAATTTTTTATGGTGGTTGCAAGATCTGTCAAATTTACCAAACCCAAGCAGAGGTTAATTACTGAAAATAACAGATAAAATATAAAGTTTTTTCTTAAGAAACCTTTGATAACTGTTTGGACATGATAAAGATTTCACATGTGAAATTTCAAAATTATCTGATGCATAAAAGTATTTTTAATGCTAAGATGAAAATTATTTTGCATGGTAGATTGGCAAGATGTGAGAAGGAAAAAAAAGGCATGAGAGAAACATTGCTTTAAAAACCTTAAGTCTTAATAAATTAGATATTTTGTGTATGAAAGCATTGTAATGTTTACTGATAAACTGCCAAATTTCGTTAACATTCGATTACTAATTAAATAGTTATAGAATAAACTATAACAAGCACAAAATGGTTACGAGGTCGGTCCCATGGACCAAGCCTGGGTTGAAAGAGTTAATGTAGTCTGTGCTTTATATGAATTCTTATAATCTAATATACATGCATAACTGTGTGCAGGCTGTGAATGTAATTTAATGTTTACATGACAGGCATGAAACATGTACCAAAGCAATTACTAACTAATTGTTGTAACTGTATTAATGTTGCATATCATTTGTTTATGTATAGAGTTCCTGCCCCTTTGGAGATGATGATGCTGCTAACAGAATAAGTTTTTTTAGCACTATATGTTTAATTTTGGCCATGTTACACAAATGTATAAAATGTGTAGGCTGTTTCCCAAACCAGAAATCTTTGAACTGTAGTTTAAAAGATATTACCAAGCTCAGTTTCGAGAATAAGATTAGCAATCACAGTGATGGCTGAAGGTAAGTGTTGAATTACAGCCAACACTACATGATTGCGAATTGTATAGATACTACACAGAGAGTAGCCATCCTTGAAGCTGACTATAATAAGTGGCAAGAGTTTTGCAAGTAGGAGATGGTGATTCTAGGCAAAAGTGAGACAAATTTTGTAGCTATATTTTATTTAGAAAATATTTAGTTTTCGATAAAATATGCAGCAATGATGGCCCACCATTGTGTAGGGTTGTCACAGTGGAAGAGGGTTGTAGAAGTGTCACAAACCAAACTCCATCAGAAATGGAAGGGAAGGGGTATATTAACATAATCAATTCATAATTGTTAATTAACCTGTTTTCAACCTTGTAGAGTGTACAGATTGTCACTCTAAGAGGAAATCTGATCAGTTGCAGCAAACTGTGACCAGCCTTACTATGGCCGAAGGAGAGGGGGAAATGTAATATCTATAAGAAATATTAAAAATGCTTATTTGTATACATATGCTGTTATATTGTGGCACATTGTTTTATATTTGCATTGAATATATATGAATGCATCTATACAACTTGAAAATTATGTATGGCTATGTATGTATGAGTATATATAATATATACAGCTTTAGAATTTAAAAAACTATAAAGCCTGTTTTTATACATAAATAATAGGCAACATTTATTGTATATGCATGCACATATAGAACTTGTGCAGTTACAATATTCAGTCCATGCACCCTTCTAGTATAGTTCAGTAGTCCCTCCAATCCAGTGTTTACAGACTTCCCATATAGCTACAGGGTATAGATATTGTAGCTATATATATATATATTACAAGTATATACATAACATGTGGTATGTTGATCACCATACATCATAGTGATCATAAATGCAGTACCACAATCAATGAGAACATTGTGGCAGTGATATTGGGAACAATAGCCATCCATTCTGCATGTAGCTTGTCATTGTTTCCTGAGAGTCCATCATACACCAACTATGTATTTCATTGAACTAAACTGTTTCAAATAGGATAGTAATGCTATTATATAGATTTATGTCCATGATGGGCATAAACATATTTGGACCTTAAATGTCATGATACATGGGTTGCTCTAGAACTCCAGATAGCAATATCATCTGCATTTTGAGATGCATGTGTATGGTTTAAGAAAGGGAATGGGATATCATTGACAAAGAGGTTGTATAATGTTGGACTTAACACTAACCATTGGAGGACACCAGCTTCAAGCATGAGAGGCCTGACAGTTGCATTGTTGATCTTAACTTTATCTGTTCTGTCTGTAAGAAAGTTGGATATCCAGCATACAGAAGGGGTGGGTACATGATTACCGATTAGTATATAGCAAAGTCTATTGTGCCATAATGAATCAAAAGCTTTTTGGATGTCTAGAAAAGTAGCTGTGGTTGTATGCTTTTCTTGAAACCTCAATAGATGGTTTTGATAAGTCTAATGAGGTGGTCAGTGGTTTGT